AGATGATCTGCTCAGGTCCCTTCCGACCCGAGAAACTATATTAACCTAGCCTTGCAGATGCTTAGGCAAGTAGTTTCTTTAACAAAGGAATAGTGTGCAGGATACACTATTCCTTGTATAAGAAGAACAAGATGCAGCCCACCAGCTATCATTGGGAGGTAAAAGCAGAAGCAAGACCTTGGAGCTGGTGCTGAAATTAGCAAGGAACACGAACAAACCAGCAAGCGACCAAGAGTACTCAAGTTCATGGCCTTATGCATGCACTTTTGGCAGAGAAGCATGTAAATTAATAAAATGCATAGGCAATTTCATGTTAATGAAGTACACAGCAGACAGAGGAGAAGCTTGCGACAGGAGAAGGAATGGGTTGAACCCAAGGAGGGACATAGGTGGAGTGAATATTAATATGTATGAACCAAGGTGTATAAGATGCAAGAAGAACTAATGTTCAGTGCAGGTCCCCAGTCGGTTGATTTCTGGGACCTTCATCCAAAGCAGCCTCCATTCTGAATAAAGCTGTTGTGAGCAGTGCATGCTGGTGTTTGCTCCCTGCTTGCTCTGACTAATGAGTAACAGAGTGGTATTAGGATCCATGAGCAACTGGATCGTTGTCTCCCTAGTTGTTGGGTGCCACATGGCATCGGGGTCTAACAATACCCATCAAGAGAACTGGAAACATTGATATTAACTCCTTAATGCTTGAACTGGCCTCTTGCACAAATTAAATACTTATTTAGGAATAAGGATAAGTGTTACAAGTCACCTTTAAACCGTTCTACAGGGTACTTAAAAATGGGAGGGTTAATGCATTAAAAAAGGGGCATTAAACTGTGCTACTGTGATTGGTACCCTCTAAGGCTGCCTCTACATATGCTTGGGAGGGCCCATAGGGCATTTTAATTAGAGTGGTTCCCAGGCAGCCACTCCAATTAAAACACCTGTCATGTGCATTAAGCCTCAACCCTTTACCTAAACTTCATTTGTTGAGGTTCAGTTAAAGTGCCCTGTGGCCATTTAAAAAACAAAATACACATATGCACACATGCAGGGCATGTCCAGATGAGCACAATCATGCAGTATGTGGTACTACAAACATGTTTGCAGCACCACATACCATGCAGTCTGGTGTTCTTTGCATGTGCTGCTGAAGAGTGGAGCTGGGCTGCATTGCAACTGCCAGACAGAAGAAAAAAAAACACACCACCACAGCTGGAGTCCTAGGAGGCTCCCAGCACCCCAGGTAAGGCTGCTGGCTGGCTCCAGCCTCCCTTATTGTCCCTGGGGAAGCTTGCCATGTGCCAAAGCATGCATGGCACAGGTGTCCCTGGGGAACCAAACATCTATACACATCTGGATGCATCCACAGGGGCTTAAACACACATGAGACTGTGGCTATGCTACAGCATTCTAATTAGAATGCAAAAAAGACTGATTAATCAAGTCTGCTCTCATGCATTCTGTTAGACCAACTCCATGTGACGCCTAACAACTGGATAGCAGTGGGCCAGCACATGCATTAGCTTCACAAAGCAGCTTTATTGCAAGACAGCACTCAGGGTACCCATAACTTGAGTGACCCAGACTCTCTTTTCTAATAGTCTTTTACTAAGCTTGATTTACATAGACCCCACCTTGTTCCCATCTTACAATCCTGTCCCTGTTTACCATTTACCTGCTTTGCATATTGTATTCCCCTATATGGCACTTTATTTCTACCCCCTACTATGACCATTAGTGCCCTGTCATTGCTAAGTGTTGCTAGGGTTGTTATCTACAGCACATTCTTGTTGCTTCTTGTTCCCCTTCCCTGTACATCTGCAGCCTTCAGCATATTCACATCCTGTTATCTTTCTGGCCTAACATTCTAATTAGAACTACTAGCATGTGTATAAGCAGCCTAAATGTCTTAAGGTTACACCACTTCAGGGACGGATCATCTTTGAGCTATTCTACCCAGATCAAGCTAGGGTATTGTCAGCCCAGAGACAAAACAATCAGTTTGGAGCCATCCAGGATACATGACTCCCAGTACTTCTGCTCCTGACAAGCTTTCCAGCTTCCCAAGTTCTACTGCCCAGGGGGTGATACTGCAGGTGGTGGGGATGTGGGCTTGAGACCAGTGAGTATGACCTTAGCTTGTGGCCACCACGCTGCCAACTCCAAGAACCCCAGGAGACCCAACTGAATCCCTGGGCTATAGGCTAGGCACACTGAGCTTTGCATTCTGGCCATGCTTAACCCCTTGGGTTCCTCTGCTCCTTAAAGAAGGCTAGGGTCTTGGCTCCTAGTAACACCCCTGCTCACCAGGCCTATCAGTGGCAAGTTACAGTTGTGCAGATCACAGATGGCATTAAGCCTTAACTTATGAGTACTATGAAACTGGTTCTAACTTTAAAGCTACCTAACACTGCACAGATCTAGAATGGTTTTAAGGTAATAGTAACAGCACCCCAAGTTCCAATTCTTTGTGAAATTTCAAGGAAAGAGAGCAAAGATATGCCAGTG